TCCATGCTGCAGTACTATCTGCGCAGTAATGAGTGCACCTCTGAGAAGACCTCAGTATTGAGGAGGGACTCTGGTTACTACAAATATGATAGGATACATAGACAGTTAAATTAATTGGGATCAGTTTACTCCCACAGAAGTTATTATTGACACACCACTGTTGAATTTGAATAAAAACTGTTATGGTTTAAACAACTCGACTCTGTCCATTTTCACACCATATTTGGGGCCACCTAAAACTCCAAATGAACCCTTTGACATTCACTAAGAGTTGTTCTATGGAAATTAGAAGGTGAGAGTGGTGTGAAAACTGTGGCTTCAAGTGGGCAATATATGGTTTTTTTCAATTCTACTCCTCTTTAGGCCATACCTTCCCCAGTACCAGGTTGGCTGGGGGATTCTGGAAGCTGTAGTCCAGAAAAAGTAAAGTTTTCAACTCTGACTGTAATGACCCAGAGTTTGAAATCATGTGGGGAATTTACATGGGTAGAGTAGGTTTCTCATTGCAGAGCTTCTCCCTTCATTGCATCAAGGGTACTTGCGTCAGAGAACAAGTATGTGTCAGAGGGTGAGGGCCAGAGATGTTCATTGCAGTTCATTGGCATATGATTGGAAATGTATGAACATGAATACCAATGTAAGACTATTGCTAGATACTGATGCATTAAATAGATCAAGGAAATTCTGAAACTCTGGGATCAAAACTTTGGCATAAGTGGTGTAAAGCTACTGCCTCTGAAACGTATTCAGCCATTGTTTCAGCTTTGTCTGTGGCCCTGTTAGAAAAACTTGAAGTATAAATTCTTTCTTGGAAAGGGGCCAATTCATAGATACTGTAGTATCTTACATGGATTTATTTTAAAGCATTCATTCTACATTCTACATTCATTCTAAATGATAAAGACTCAACTCAGTGCTATAAAATGTGATCATAAAAAACAGCCAATTTTAAATTATTGTTGTTATGAGCCATTATGTTGCCTCCGACTTATAGTAACCCTATGAATGAGTGATCTCCAGATTATCTTATCAACAATCCTGCTCAGCTATCATAAACTCAAGCTTGTGCTTTCCTTTGGGGAGTCAACTTATCTTACATTTCAGCCATCTTTTTCTGCTGCCTTCAACCTTTCCCAACCTTTCTCTTTTCCAGAGAAACTTGCCTTCTCATGACATGCCTAAAGTAGGACAGCTTCAGTTTCATAATTTTTGCTCCCCAAGCTTGATTTGCTCTAGGACCCACTTGTTTGTTTGTCTTTCTGGAGCCCAGGATTGATTGATTGGTTGATTGTTTGAAATTTTTACCTATCCTATCTAGCGGCCAGGTCACTACTCTAAGCAACTTACAATCAGAGCATCAGTAAACAGAGACTAAAATTCAATAGTAAGAACAAATAAAATATTAGATAAAAACCTTCCATTATCTCGTGAACTATTGTCTTCAGAGATCAGCACCATATTGCAAATTACTTTTTTCCCTATCAGCTTTCTTTACCATCTAGCTTCCACAGCTGTACATAGTAATGGAATACAATAGTGTGGATGATCTTGGTCTCCAGTGATATATCCTTACACTTCATATTTTGTAATTCTTTCATTGCTGCCTTTCTGAATCTTCTTCTGATTTCATGGCTGCAGTCTCCATTTGGATTGATGATTAAATCAAGATATACAAAATCTTTCACTATTCCAGTTTCTTCATTGTCAACATTACAGTTGTGTAGTTCTTCAGTAGTCATGATTTTTGTCTTAATATTCAACTGCAGTCCACTTTAGCACTTCTTTCTCTTTCTCTGAAAGTTGTTTCAAGTCATTGCTACCTTTTACATACTAGTAAGATGGTGCCATCTACATATCTTATTAATGTTTCTTCCACCAATGTTCACTCTTTCCTCTGAGTCTAGTCCAACTTTCCGTATAATATGTTCTGCATACAGATTGAACAATTTTTTCCCTTATAGGGAAAAGGTCTCAGACAAAGTGCATAAAATGACATCTTTCCCCTATAGGAAATGATTCTGTCTCTCCATGTTCTGTCCTAATGGCAACTTTTTGTTCACAATACAAATTATGCATCAGGACAATCAAGTGCTGAGACATACCCATTTCTTTCAGAACAACCCCCAGTTTCTCATGATCCACACAATCAAGGACTTTGCTATGAAGCATAGACTAATCTTTTTCTGAAACTCTTTGGCGTGCTCTAGTAGCCTCCAGATATTTGCAATTTGATATTATTATTATTATTAAAAAATACCATGCGCAGTCCATCAAAATTATAAAAACATTGCCTGGTATTACATAACAAATAAAAGTTCTGACCAAAAACCTAAGTACTTGATAAATATCAGTGCAATGTAAATGCTGTTCCTAATATTGCTGTCTGCTGTAACTGCAAAATGTGCTGATCTGAAGCCCAGTTTCAAAGGTATATTTTTCTGTTTGGGCAGCCCCCATTTTTAGAATTGCCTAGTTGAATGTCGATTTGTTCTGACACATGATATCATTACTTCATTCTCATGCAACATCAATTATAGTCTGAAGAAGGGTTCTGAATCTATATTTAGCAGAAACTTCAATGCCACAGCTACTGTCACAATAATTACCCCAAGAAAATATTAATGCAATCAATTGGCATGACCGTGGTCTCCCTGTAGCATTATGTTTTATAATGTCATTTATTCTCCTCAAAATGACTTTGGCTCTATATAACATTATTGCTATTCCTTTCATAATCTGGCCATTCCCAAGGCAACTTCTTATATTTTATTTTGATCTCAGATAGATAAACATTCCCCTTGACAATTTGTTCAGTCATGTCTGATTCTAGGGCATGGTGCTCATCCCCGTTTCCAAGCCATAGAGCTAGCATTTCTGTTTGGGCTGCCCCCATTTTTAGAATTGCCCAGTTGAATGTCGATTTGACACATGATATCCCAAGAGGTGGTACCTATTTATGTACTTTCATTTGCATGCTTTCGAATTGCTAGGTTGGCAGGAGCTGGGACAAGCGATGGGAGCTCACTCCATCACATGGATTCGATCTTATGACTGCAGGTCTTCTGACCTTGCAGCACACAGGCTTCTGCGGTTTAACCTGCAGCACTACCGCATCCCTCTGCAGCTCCACCATGTCCCTCAGATCTCAGATACTGTCACCAATTATAAAATCTCATAAGTAGAATACTGTGGGCATTAAAGTGTAGAATTGACTAAGTAACAATCTTCTACAAAGCTTCAAAAAGAAACTTTCTCCCTACAGTAAACATAGCTCCTAAATAAATCTGTCTATCGCCTGTTATGAAGATCTGAAGATAAATAAAGAAAAAACTAAAGTTATAGTAAAAAACATAACAACCAAGCAAGAAAAAAATCAACTCTCAGATATGTCAGACCTACCAATAGTTAAAAAAGTCAAGTACCTCAGAATATATTTAACTGCTAGATGTGTAACTATAAAAGAAGATAGTTATATAAAACTACTTAACCTAATAAAAATAGAGCTAGAAAAGTGGAAAAACCTACAACTATCACTATTAGGAAGAATTGCAACAATCACAATGAACATTTTGCCAAAGCTACTCTTTTTGTTTCAAATAGTGCCAGTGAAAATAAAGAAATAATACTTTGATGATTTAAACAAGGTGATATTAAAATATATTTGACAAGGAAAGAAAGCCAGAATCAAATTAAAAATGCTCCAAGAATCCAAGGAAAATGGAGGATTTAGTTTACTGGACTGGACCTTATATTACCAATCTTCTGTTCTAACTTGGTTGAAAAAATGGATTAGCCTGAAAAACAAATGACTTCTGTATTTAGAAGGACACGATCTACAGTTGGGTTGGCATGCCTTTTTATGGTACTGTATCAGAAAGCTAAAACTCATAGGTATTTCCAAAACCACTATATTAGAAACTCCCAGTATATAATATGGGAAAAAATAAAAATGAAAGTGTACACAAAAATATCAGGATGGGTTTCACCCATAGAAGCATTTGTTCATCCCAATCTTTTGAATTTTGAAAATTTTTACTATACAGATATCTTAGATATAGATAGGAGATTAAAGCCAAAACTAGACCTTATAGACCAGGAATTAGATGCATCGTCGTGGTCCATAATGTAAATATATCAAGATATGAACGGGATCCTTAAAATGTATGATTTTTATAAAGAACAGGCAACATTTGACCAAATAATGTTACCATCAGATGATAAATTAATTAGGAAAATATCTAAATTTCTTTTAAATGGAGGACAAACAGGTCAAGGAAACGATGGTTCAATGGACAGAAATTTTTGGATACAATATTGATTTTGAAAAATGGCAAGAACTGTTGTCTAGAAACTATAAGATGACAATGGCAACATCTTATAAAGAGAATTTATATAAAATGTTTTATAGATGGCATTTACCTTCTGACAGATTGGCTAAGATGTACTCTAATAGGTCAAGTAAATGCTAGAAATGTCATAAAAAAACTGGAACTTATTATCACCTTTGGTGGACTTTTGATAAAGCAAACATTTTTTTGGAACAAAATACATATATGGCTTGTTAAAATAATCAAAAAGCATGTAGATTTTAGGCCAGAGCTCCTTCTGTTAGGTATAATACCAGAAAGTGTTGATAAACAAAATGTATATTTAATACTGCATATTTTAACAGCTGCAAGGATGATATTTGCACAGTACTGGAAAAATGAAGAAACACCTACAGATCAAGATATAATTAAAAAAATATTGGACTGCACCGAAATGGATAGACTAACACTGAAAATCAAAGGAAAGGAAGATACAAAATATTATCAAACATGGGACTTGTTCTATCAATGGTTAGAATTACGTTGTATAGATTAGGAGCTTAATGTTTGTTGTAGTTGTATTAACAAATGATTATAAGCTGTACCCAGGTGGCACAATGTTAAATTAGTATGGATGGATTTTATAAATTATAATGATAATAAAAAGAAAATCTATAATTTTTTGTCTATCACCTGTTATGAAGATCTGTCTTGACAATGCTGAGCCTCAGCTTGGCCGTGAACTCCCTCTCAACTGCCAGGTACAGGAATTTATCCTGATTGTGACATCAGAGATTGTATCAGAATGCTGTGCTTGCAAACAGCTCAGGCTCTCTCCATAGTAGTGGCCAGTAAATATCTGCAACCAAGTAACCACCATGTTGACTTCTCCAGAAAGGTGGAACTTTGATTGGATAGCCTATGCTAGAAGGTTTAGAGCAGGCTTGTTCAACCTGTGGCCCGCGTGTTTCATGCGGCCCAGGTCAGCTCATAATGCAGCCCAGTGCAATTTTTTATTTTTAAAGAAATTCCAAAGTTTCAAGTTACACTGCCGGCACTTGCATCCGGAATGCGGCTGGGGCACGTCACAATGGTGGGGGGGGGGAGAGGGAAGGAAGGAAGGAGTGGGAGGGGAGGGGAGAGGGGGGCTGCGTGACTGCATTGCGCCATCCCCGTCAATAGGTGGACCCCCTCCTGGCCCCATAAAGCCGCCGGAGTCGAAGCTGGCAGTCTCTGCTGTCTGAGATCGCAGCTGCTGGTAAGCGCGCTTGGAGCGGGGCTGTAGAGGAAGGCTAGGGCTGCCCCCCCATGCGGCCCAAACCAAATTTTCATCTTCTAATGTGGCCCAGGGAAGGTGAAAGGTTGGACACCCCTGGTTTAGAGTGACTTGAAAGCTTGCTTAGCATTTTAAAAATAAGCAAATAAATTAAAAAAAACCCAAATTAATTTCCAATTATCTCTAGAGTACCATACGTCAATTTTTGAAAAGAAAGATAATCAACTAGTATGCTATTGCTTGTATTTAGCATAAAGCCTGACAGGGAGGTTTCTTATTACTTCACCTGATTGTCACAAATGCTTCATTAGGAGTTTGGAGAGCATCTTGTTTAAGAGGAACCACATTCCTCCACAGGGGTACAATTCTTCCGTTGCAAGGTGGGGTGGAGGGTTAAGAAACAAAAAAAATTGTATTTTGTTTCTAGTGTGGGTCTTCAGGTAGCAAAACTAGCTTTAAAGAGCCACACGGCTCCCAAAGTAGTCTCAGTGCCTTACCCCAAAACTTCTTTTCTACTTTTGTGAAATGTTGGGTTTCCCCTAAGCCTACTCTTACATTTCTCTTATGCATAGATGGTAACATCTTGACTTCTTGGAGATTAAAATTGGATACAGAGAGACAGATAGAAATGATATTCCCTATTCCCTCCCACCAAATTATAGTTCCCACATCTTTGAGACAAATAATGATTGTGATCCAGCTACTGTAGAACCTCAAGGGAATGATGGCCTGGCTGGAAATATTTGTATGTTATTTTTTTAAACTCATTCCAAAAGATTTCATAAAGATCAGCGGATATAACATCATACTTAAATCATCCACGAGCTATGAGGTACTGGATAATTATAGCAGACCTGTTCAAGTCTTACATTCAAAGGTATATTCACCAAACCTTTAGTGCACCACCAACTCTTCCCCTCTCTGTCATTGCTTTCTACATGTAGAAAGTGATGTACCTGCAGAGAAAAGGTTCCTACTCATGTGTAGGCTTTCCATTTTCAATTCTGGCATTCCCTGGGATTGCAGTGTCAATGATCCATATAACAGACGTTTCTTCATTCTATTACTACTATGTCTGGTGTGTTACGAGAAGTGCTAAAGATGGACTTGTATCTGAATGTGTCTGTCAGTTTGGATCTAGAAATCCCACAAGATCTTGACTTAGTCATTTTCTGACACCTTCTCTACCTGATGTTCCCACGGTTTTTGGAGGCTGGCAAGTTATATTTTTTGCATAATAGCCAGTGCACTAATTTTGCTACTCTATCATGTCTAATTTTTGTCATCTGTTCATGCAGTCTTTGGACATTTGCAGATGAGATGTGACAGTTTCATCTTTTTCTTGTCAGAGTGGACATTTGCTGTTAGCACTAATTTCTTGGATCTTTGCTTTATTTTTATTATTATTCAAAAACACCAGGCATAGTCAATTAAGATTATAAAAACATTGACTGTTATTATATAACAGGTACAAGTTTTAACCAAAAAGCTAAGTATCTGTTAAATATCGGCACAGTATGTTCCTAACATTGCTGTTTTTGTAGGTCTGATGGTGTTATTTCTGAGATCTGCAACTGCTTATAATACTGTGCGGAATTTCTTGATATTGTTCCCAAAGCCCTGGTGACTACTGGGACCACTGAAGTATGTTGTACTACTACTACTACTACTACTACTACTACTACTACTACTACTACTACTACTACTACTACTACTTCTTCTTCTTCTTCTTCTTCTTCTTCAACTTTTATACCACCCCATAGTTCTACAGCACTCTGTGCAGTTTACAACATAGTTCTGCAAGGAACACTTTGCCCCCACTCCAGCAAGCTGGACAGTCATTTTACCAACCTCAGAAGGATGGAAAGTAATGTCAACCCTGAGCAGGCTACTTGAACCCATCAGGATTGAACTCAGATCATGAGCAGAGGTTTGGCTGCAATACTGCAGTTTTACAAGGCTTTTAATGTGCCAGCTATTCTCTCCTTTATGCAGATACAGGTCTAACAACTGTTCTACAGGGCAAGAAAAGTTTGCCGATACATTAATTATTATATACAAATTTTCTGTGTTTTCAGCTCTGACAATAAGCAAGTCTACAAGATGTGACAAGAGGGAACAGAAATTGAAAGGATGGGATGAAGGACCAGCATCTGCATGCCCTTTGGCTTTGTAGGAGGGGAAAGGGGCATACACAAAATTCAAATATTTAGGCCACAGAAGAGAGAGCTGTTGCTGTGATGAGAAGAGAGAAGTGGACCATGCAAATATTCAGTGCTTTTAAAAGAAAGCCCTTACTCTATATCACAAAGAAGAAGAAAAAGAAGGAGAAAATTTTGCAGTATTGGTATTATGAGACATTTTCCTGTTCCAGTTACAAAACTGGCTCTTGGAAAGATTACGAGAGAGAGAGAGAGAGAGAGAGAGAGAGAGAGAGAGAGAACTGTGAGAAAAAAAGCACTTTACTTTCCTCTGTCACTTTTTATTAGAAAAAAGACATGTTTTAGACTAGCCTCTGCTCTTATTACAATCCAGGATCTTAGCAACAATCCTACCCTTGCCCAATAGCCCAGGCCTGGCATAGGACTGGCCCTGTAACACAATGCCTTCAATAAACCCGTTACTTTGAGCCGCTTTGGATCCCTTGTCGGGAGAAATCTGGAACAACAACAAGAACAACAACAATTGCACATGGATACTAGTTTCTACAGAATGGACCTGAGTCCCTGCTGCACTGTCCCTGCCTTGGCTCAAGGGTAGTTCAGCGAGTTCACTATTACAGGAAGACTCAATTGCACAAAGCCCAGTCTGAATTCTTCGTGGAACACAGTAACAGCAATCTAATTTTTGTGACAGATCATGTATTTGACTCACCGGTTCTTTATGTCACTTGTGACTCATTCTCAAATGAAGCATTACATGTCTTCAAAATTAAAGTAACAGGATTTAACAAATCTCAGTTCATAGTTTCACAAGCTAAAACCTTTCCCAACTAGACAATCGCTATTTTTCTTGATGGATGAACAGAAGTTACTTCATCTTCAGCATGAAGGCAGATTTTTTCAGTTCAACTTCCTCAATCAGAAGCTTTTTCTAGTCAAAACCCCAACCACAAATCAGGTGAGTTTCACCGACTCAGGAATGAAACAGATTTAGTTGTGGATCCCCCTTTTCACCTTTTTATCTATGTTTGCAATTTATGCATTGCCTTTGCATTTACTAATAGCAACATGTAATGTAAGTCCCTGTACTTTCTCACCTCTTTATATACATATATCCACAACTACATCTGTTTCATTATATATATATATAAAGAGGTGAGAAAGTACAGGGACTTGCATCCTTCCAGTGCTATTTGGCTCTTCCATCCCACATTCATATACAGTGGTGCCTCACTTTATGATTGCCCCGTTTAATGATGAAACCGCATTACGATGAACTTTTTGCGATCGCTTTTGCGATCACAAAACAATGTTTCCTATGGGGGAATTTTGCTTTGCGATGATCAGTTCCCTGCTTTGAGAACTGATTCTTTGCAAAACGAGGATTTTCCAACAGCTGATTGGCGGTTTCAAAATGGCCGCCGGGTAAACAAAATGCCCCCTGCTGTTTTCTGGGATGGATTCCTCGCTGCACAGGCAGTGAAAATGGCCGGCCTATGGAGGATCTTTGCTGGACTGCGAGTTTACAGCCCTTTGGAATGCATTAAATGGGTTTTAATGCATTTCAGTGGGTTTTTTCTTTTATGTTTTTGTTCTACAGCAATTTTGCTGGAACGAATTAACGTTGTAATGTGAGGCACCACTGTATGTATGTATGTATGTATGTATGTATGTATGTATGTATGTATGTATGTATGTATGTATGTATGTATGTATGTATGTATGTATGTATGTATATTATTATTATTATTACATATATATGTGTGTGTGTAATAATAATAACATGCATACATGCATGCATACATACACACACACACACACATATATATATACACACACACACACACTTGGCCATGCTTTTTGACTATGCCTCACTGGCCACACATCTGGCAGTAGCTAGAAAGCTATCTAGAAAACCTGTTGAAAAACAGCTATGACAATTGCTTTGTTTTGGGTTGGTACATAGTTAACTGATTTTTTTAAAGGAGCCAGGTTGTGGGATTTCCCCCTGGTTTGCATCTGTTAGTGAATGTTAGTTAGTGCAAAAGGGGATGCAGTGGGTCTTCTTGATTGCTGACACCGGTTTTGTTAACCTTCCTCTTAGTCTTTGCTATGCAAAGTGTGGCATCCTTTTTCCTGCTGGCAATGTGGGCACAATATTGCAAGGCCGTGTCACACCATTTTTTTGGCATGCTGAACTATAAACAGAGAAACAATATCTCATGTTCATAAACCAGAGGGTTTTTTGTTTTTGTTTTTTTGAAGGATTGAATTTCCTGACATTTTAAAACAGAAATTTAGAAACACACAATACACCCAAAT